ACCAGGGTGTTAATTGAGGAATTTGCAGACAGGAAAAGTGGGCAGAGAGGTTTCAGGGCTGATATATTATTTCCTAATTTGCTCTCCCCGCTTCGAAATATTTGGCTAAGACCCTAGCCTCTTTGTACAGAAAAAAATAATAATAAATAACCCTTTCTAGCTTTGTGGTGCTAGAGATACGCGGAAATTCTAAATTCCATATGACCACTTGATGAGGGAAACGGAGGCAAGAGAAATGCAGTTTAAATCTCCTTGCCGCTGGCAGCCGACTGCTAGATGTGCAGACCGTGACCTTGAGGACCTCATGGCCGCCCTGCTGCCTTCATGTTTTTGTTTAAAGACGAAAAGCAACCTTATCTTAACAGCGGCTGCCCCTCAACGTCCTGAAACCTTGCTTCCAAATTCCTCAGAGACTGGCTTATCCTCACTCCCACTGACTTGAAAGTATGTAACCAGTCACTCCTCACAACCCCCCGGGGCAGCCCTCTCTGCCCCCTGGGTCCTGTCCCTTTGCTGTAGTAAAAGCACCTTTTTCCACCAGAAAACACCTCAAGAATTCTTTCGCAGCCATTTGCTCATGAACCTCACTTTATAATTTTATCACTGTCGCGCCCTTACGTGGGGCTTTGAGTTTTTTCATCTGGACTCTGAGCCCCAGCGCTAACTTGGTAATTCCTCTCCTCGTTCCTTTTATCTCAGGGGCTTTTGGAGGAACAGTTTCATGTCAGTTGCTCAGGCTGCAGGCCTCTGGTGCCCGTGGCTCCTCCGCAGGGAGGAGAAAGGCTGCCTTTTGGCTGGAGGTTAGTACCCTGGCAGGAATGGTAAGACCAGAAACTTGATGCCCTCTCTTTATTCCTGTCCTTATAGCAAGTTGTCCGTCTTGGGCGTGGGACAGCCACCTAAGTCACCAGGACGGCTGCCACTCTTAAGACTCCCTTGCGAGGTTTCCTCCTCGTTGGTCTAATGTGGGCCCCTCCAGATCCCTGGTCTAGCCGCCTCTGGCCCAGAGAACGCCACTCAGAGCCGGCCGAAACCAGTCCGTGCATGATTAAATTAGATCCCAACTGGGGACTGTTTCCTAGGGAAGTCGCTGTAAGGACGACATGTGTTGGAACGTCTCTTAGACCCTGATGGGTTTCTGTCTTTACTGTTTTTCATCAGGGCCCCTACTGACTACTGAAATTATCATTCCTGCAGGAAACCAAGCAAATAGACTGAGATACCCTATACCCAGCTGTGAATGGCCCTAAATCATGCCCCGGATTTTAAGGCCTCTTGTAAAATGTGTTTGGCCACTAACCAGGCTGATAAACTCCCTCCTGATACACTGAGGACTGTCTAAACAGGCCTCCTCTGTAAGGAGCCCCTCCCGGGTAGTGGGTAGCAGGAGTCTTGTTTCATTCTCGCCCTAATAAATTTGGTGCCTGTGCCGCTCTTAACCTTGTTCGTGGGTTCCATCCTTCGGCTCCATCAGAACACGATCCTGGATTTTTAAAAACGCAGTACATCCCCCTGGAATTTAGTGTCCTTTCATTACTGCCTGTCTTCGCTGGAAATCACAACTGTTTAGCATGTGGATAGCTTGCATTTGATTGTTTTCTAGTGGTATCTTGGGCAATTTCCTTAATTTACTCAGAAACTGGATGGATTACATTTGAAATTTATACCGCTGATCTTTCCAACAATGAGGGGCTTTCTAACCCCCCGAGTTGTAGACCTGGGTCTTAATACGGATTTTACCACTCACTGTCTGACCTCAAGGCAAATTAATCTGTTTGTCTCAAGTGTCACTAAGTGTAAAGTAAAATGGGGATGATAATATTCAGCTCATAGGGTCATGGAAATAAACTTACGCATGGGAATCACTGGACAGTGTTTGGCAAACAGTGAGCACTTGAGAACTTCCTTACTGTAAAAAAAAAGAAAAAAAAAACCTGCTAGAATTTACTTGGTGATGCATTTAAATCATTCTTTGGATTCAACAATTTATTGACCACCTACTATGCACCATGTTCTCTTAACCTCTTTGCAAATGTCATTGCTCTTTCTAGAAGGCTTTCTTTCCCCCACTCCTTCTTGCTTAAAGGACTTCTTGCTTGACTAACTCCTGTTTTCATTTTGCTGCTTAAGTGTCAAAACAACCCAGGACCCCTTCCTGCTCTGGCATCACGGTCAGGATCTTCTGCGGCATTAGCCCCACACCGGGCACAGTACCGTGTGGTGACTTTACTGCATTTGACTTTGGACTCTGAGGACAGGGCGTGTTTTTCTTTAATCCCGATCTGTTGCTTGGCAAAGAGAAGGCACAGATACATATTTGCTGGTTACCAAGCAAAATGAAGTGGGGACAGTTGAGCAGGAGGACAGACAGTAAGACAGCTTGATAAAATAGTTTCATGCTACTCAGTGACAGCCATTTAGCGGATCTTCCTCCAACTTTTGTCCGTCCCTTACAGCCTATTGCCTGCCCACACATCGGTGCCCCCACACCCCCCTCCACAACTCAGATTGTTATTCTCTGTCTGAAACTCTAACAGTATCCCATAATGTTCAGAGACACTCTTGTCCGCCCTCTTTCCAATTCCTCTTCTGCTTCCTTGTTCTCCCTCAGCGAGCCAAACAGCCAAACACATTTTCACCTCCTGCCTGCATTTGCCGTTCCCTCTGCTGGAACGTTTTCCCTCCTGTGGACCTCTCTTGTTCCTTTATTTCATTAAGGGTTCCGCTCAGGTGTCATCCTCATCAGGGAGGACTTCCCCAACCACCCTATCTACATAGCACCCACTTTTAAGGCCCCTCGTCACGTAAGTTTGGGTATTTTCTACCCCTCCCCCCACCAGAATAGAAGCTTGGCGAAAGCCGCCTTTGTTTTGTTCGTTGTTGTGCCCCTAGCAACTTGGACGATGCCCAGCGTTAGAAAGAGTAAAAAAGGGAATAACATTGTGTAGAAGCAAAACTGTTTGCATATACACAACATATGGTTTACTTATGTAGAAAGCCCAAAAGAATATACACACATATTACACGAATGAGAGTTCAGCAAAGATGCTGGATATGAAAATCAACTAGCTAGAAAATGCATACCACAAAATAGCATCAAAAAGTATAAAGTCCCTAGGAAATATTAACAATAGACATTTATGGAGAAAATTATAAAACTTTATTGAAAGACACTTAAAAAGGTTAAATAAATGAAGAGCTACATCATGTTCAAGGGAAGACTCAACATTGTAATTAGTCTATGAATTCAATATAAGTCCAATAAAAATTCCAGCATTTTTGTTTTGTTTTAGAACTGGTCAATCTAGGGGCGCCTGGGTGGCTCAGTCGGCTAAGCGTCCGACGTCGGCTCAGGTCATGATCTCGCGATTCGTGAGTTCGAGCCACACATCAGGCTCCGTGCTGACGGCTCAGAGCCTGGAGCCTGCTTGGGATTCTGTGTCTCCCTCTCTCTCTGCCCCTCCCCTATGCACACTCTGTCTCTCTCTGTATCTCAAAAATGAATAGACATTAAAAAAATTTTAAAAATAAAAGGACTGATCAATCTAATTCTAAAAGTTGTAGCAAATCTAATTCTAAAAGCCGTTAGCAAACGGCTGAAGATGGCCACGATGCTCCCCAAGAAGACAAGTTTGGTGGAGACTTTATTTTGGAGGTGGAGGTGAGATTTGTCCTGAGATACCAAGACCTCTTTCTAAAAGCTGTAGTGCTCAGGACTATATTGCACTGCCGTGGGGTTGGGCAAACTGACCAGTGAGTCAGAAGAGAATCCACACCCGCCCTGCCCCGCACCCACCCACCCCCAAGAGACTCCATTTTCGAAAGAGCTGGTGTTCCGGATCCATGGGAAGGAATGAACTCTTCAGAAAATGGTGCAGCGACGACCACAGCTTATCCACCTGGACAAAATATTATATTGAACTTCTATCTCGTACTTTGCACGCCGATCAGTGCAGAGAAGACTGCGGACAAGTGTGAAACGTAAAACCATGTTTAAGGTGCAGTAAAGAAGATCTCTAGGGCTGTGGGTAGGAAATGATCCCCCTCCCACCAGGCTAATATGTATTCAGCTTTTATAAGGTACTTTTCAGGACCAGCCACTTCCAGGAGGACACGGGTGACAATCAATCCACACAACACCCGACAACATTCAAACTCCCCCCCCCCCCCCCCCCCCCC